TATATATATATATATATATATATATATATATATATATACGTTAGTGTGTGTGTGTGTGTGTATTTGGACATTCGCTGTGTGCTACTGGATATTTGCGATACACAATGTTATCCTGGGCTGAGATGGCTGAACAGTCAAAGTAAGGTTGCTGTGATTGTTATTCCCAATCTTTAAGGCTTACGTCCGCACCCTCTTCTACCTCTTCCATCTCTTATATGGTCTCTTTTTGTTTTATGTGGCAGAGATGATCTCTATTTTTCTTCTTCTGTTTTCTAGTTATCTTCCTTCATTTCTCTCCCAGTCGTATAAGTAGTTGTTCCGATCAAAAACTCATTTTGCGTTTTTTTTTCTTTCTTCACCTTCATGAAAATCCTCTGTATTCATACTACAACGTCGTCACCAGGTCAACGAAACCCTAGCAATGCTCAGTAATGCCGGAAAGTCTGTTCCGTAAGTCTGATGTTGTGTCGTGGCATGTTGCAGCCTGTCGATTTCCGTTCCTTGACTTTAGAGATCCAATGGTGACTGTGAGTCCAGCTCGTTCGATCGTATTGCTATCTGGCTATTCTTCGCTGTTGTTTGTGTGTGAGCGTACTTGAGATACTTGCGTACTTTGTGGTGAGTGATAGGTCCTACCGTGTCGGAGTTGGCTTTTATCCTGATCCTGATTGATCCCCTTGTCCATCACGAATCTATTTACCCCTGGCTAAATTGTAACCAAAGAGGTTGTAGGTGTCAATAAGGTCTTCTACGTGACACCACCTCCAATACGACCACCCACTGATGCGCTCCTTCGTCCCACATTGTCACAGTACGCAAAGCGACATGGAATCGGTCGCCAACCAGTGGTTTGACATGAAGTACCAGTACATTGTGCTTGTCTGTGACGAGGCTCGGTTGAAGGCCTGGATTGAGCGCATAGATGTGGTGGGTATTAAGGACGACAGCTTCAAGGAGGGGGATGCGGGTGAGTGGGCTGTATGATGTACATGTTTAGTTCTGCATCTATAGAGCCACAGTGATATTCAAAGAAATATGTTCCTTATAAACTATACCCTGAGGTGGACACTGATGTATAGGCCTGCCCCCGATTCTATTCCTACGAAATACCTTTCCGCATACTCAGTACTCATTCAACAAGTACACCTTTGGTTGTTATAGAGGTATGGTGCCGACTATAACTTATCAATGCTAATAACCGCAATGCAAACATGTGCTCAATTAACAAACATAGTGACCAGACAATACATATACTGTTGATTATCATAGATGTGTACGACTACCGACCCGGAGAGGAGGACGATTCAGATGACGAAGTAGATAGTGCCACACAGCAAAAAGAGACTCCCAAACCACAACCCATGCAATCACGCATAGTCATCGCAAATTCCGTTGTATGTATATTTATATACATATATATCTATTTATATATATATATATATATATATATATATATATATATATATATATATATATATATATATATATATATATATAGATGTATATGTCTATGTCTATGTCTATGTCTACGTATGTATATATATATATACATATTATGTGTGTGGGTGTATTTGTATTTGTATATGTATGTGTAAAGTATGTTTGCATGTATGTATGTATGTATGTTTGTATGTATGATTGTAGGTATGTACGTGTATTTGTACGTGCGTCTACGTCTGCGTATGTGTGTGCGTGTGCGTGTGTATGTGTGTTTTAGGGTATTCTAGTGTTGTATATATCTATGTTGTACGTGCAGGTTACATCTCTATCCAAATATGGTGTACCTGTCATGCAATCACGACTTAAAAAAGCAATGCCGAAGTCTGTTAAGGCCTAAGGATTTGGTTTTAGTTGATGTTGTCATATGTATAATAGTCCTGTCTTCGTAAGTATTGTATGTTTAGGATCATTTTTTAAGTGCATAACTATCAGGATGTCCGTGATTATTTCTACTGGTAAGGCAAGCTTATGCCTACTTCAGTCGGCAGCAATACCGTTGTCAGTATATACACATAAGCTCGTGTCGTAGGAATATATATCTCGGGATCGTATTGATAGAAATTGTCGTGACATTTTAGTTTATTTCAAAATATGTGTGAGGTTTGTCACCTTGTCATGATAGTGTCATAGTCTGTAAAACTACGGAATTAATTGTACCGTCAATTTCGTCGGTTGGCTTTATTGCAGACCTGGGTGTAATTAGTCCCGGATGTTTTGCTTATATACCGATTCGAAAGATATAGAACCAGGATGATCTTGGGTTCAAAGGCCAAACAATCGGGCAAAGCAAGTGGGGCATTGGTAGTCATATCTTCTGCTAGTGGGTACTTCTAGCAAGGGATAAGCCTAACATCAACATCGATGACAAAAACAAATATTGATATCGATATAAATGGAATACTAATTTGTGAGTACATGTTCTGCGCCCACCCTCTACCAGCCGAGTGATGTGATGGTGATGCGAGAGATTGTGAAGACCGAGGTCACATTTAAAGAAGCCATGGAACACCTAATCGAGTACTTCTACGAGTATGTACCAAGTACCGGAACTTGTGTATGAGAGATGTTTGTGTCTACATTTGACTATTTACACATATATAGTAGGGAATGATTGTATACTGTTGCGCATATACATCGATCTTTGTCGTATCAGGGCGCAACGATACCCTTAAAACAGGCGGATGCACGAGTGTGTGAATGTGTCTGTACAAGGTCTGCTGAAATGATACATACTGTACCCTACAACGCATAGGCCATACCGATCCGTCGTAATCGTTCGCTGTGTCTATTTTGGTTAATACCATGAATGTCTCCGAACCACTCCACGATTGTGACGTAGGAAGGCGCTTTGCCCCACATAGGATGATTCTGCCATCGAAATAATGCTCGTTCTCATCGTTTGGAACTGTAGTTTCCTGACCAGTGCGCGATTTTACTTGATTATCACAAATGTCGGATAGTCTAATTCAGTTGTTTGACAAATACGACTAATGTTCCTACCCCCCCCCCCCCTTTCTCCGCCCTTCCAGGCCCTTATTAGAGGCCTATCGAACAGGCCGCGAGTTTTTGACCGATGAGCAGATGAACCGCATTTTCTCGTCTGTCAAGCCACTCATTAAGTTCAGCGAAAAGCTCATCGAGAAACTAGAGAACAATGTATGTTTTTACTATAACAGCGGAGCAGGTGTGCCTCTACTCGTTATGGAACTAAGTGGTAGGGATTCGTGTGTCGAGGCCATGCTTGCAAATGAAGACGGTCGCGTGTTTATTCGAGAAGATCGCTTGTACTACGAACTGGAGTCTTTAGTACTTCGACTCTCCCTTCTTGTTTTCCACGCGCATGTATGCTTTGATTTATTTTTCTCATTGAACTGGTCGAGAAGCCGTTATTCTCGGTGATAGGAAACTGTCGCTGGTGTTGCGGAGGTGTTCATGTACTTGCGAGTGTTAAGCGATGTAGTACATAGTATATCTCTCATCCTTTTGTTTCTCACGCACATGTGTGCTTTAATTCTCTCTCATTCAACTGATCGGGGTATCGTTATTCTCGGTGATAAGAAACTGTCGCGGGTGTTGCGGAGGTATTCATGTACTTGCGAGTGTTAAGCGATGTAGTACATAGTACATCTCTCATCCTTTTGTGTCTCACGCACATGTGTGCTTTAATTCTCTCTCATTCAACTGATCGGGGTATCGTTATTCTCGATGATAGGAAACTGTCGAGGGCGTTGCGGAGGTGTTCACCAATTTTGAGGAGAGCACAAACCTGTTCGGCAAGTTCGCCTCGACTTTCGATTGGTCCACTAAGCTTGTAGCCGTAAGTACTAGTTGGGTGCTGTAGGTTATCGTTGTATTCTGGATCAAGCATGCATGGCCACACACCTACGCATGACTATGTATTCATATATAGTAGTATACTCGTAGTCTGCATAATAAGTGGATGTATCTATTCACAGCAATCTCGAATAGCGATTCACGCCTGTCTGCAGTTGTACTTGGAATTATACCGGATATGTATAGGGGCTTGTGTGTATATGACTTATACAGCGCATTATACACTGAGCACGTGCGTGCGATCTCGAGACAGGCGTGCTTTAATAGTCTGATATCGCATTCGAGTTTTCAATGCATATGACGGAGCTGTTTTATTCCGATGTCAATCTGGCCCTGTCCAAGACCGTTTGATGATGGTTGGTTCCTCCACGCATACAATGTGATGTGTACATGGGGTTGTAACTCACTGCTGAGTCCCACCCACCTCATTCCACTGCCGCATACAACTAGACATATACAATTTTCTCCCGATGTGTTTTCAGTAGGGGGTTTTATATTGGGGGGTGGGGGGTTGCACATACAATCAAACATCTATGCACTTCAACGTGTGTGTATCCGTATGATTTGTTGTGTTCCTGCACATATCCCTACGTGTGTCTCCGTGCACTTTGTCTGGCTCACTCGTATCTAGCGTCGACTGACCTGTGCCGGTGTTTTCCCTCATGCTCGTCGTCTTCCTTGTCCGTTCGTAGTTTGTTCTGTTCCTTCGTACACTCAGACACCTACTCACCTCCACCCGTTTTCACGCCCATGCGATTCCTTTTGCCTTGCACAGGACATGTATAGCAACTCGTCCAGCTTTGCTTATTGGCTGCGGCATCAGGAGGAAGACGCGGGGAGTTCTTTTGAGTCGCTGTTTTTAACTCCAATCCAACGGCTGCCACGATTTGTTCTGCTGCTCAAGGAGCTTAAGAAACAGTCCAAGAACACCAGCGAACAAGCGGAAGCCAAATTAGATAAGGTGGGCAGCCGATAGTGTGCATATAATATAGGCGTGATGGTTCAACAGCCTCGTGTATGTATGGGTTGTGGCATGGTTGATAAGTGTATGGCTGTAGCGTTCTTAATTGTGGAACAAGGAACACTGGCGCACGCTGTTCCGATGACGATGCTGTGTGCTGCATAGCTGTATCTTTATTGGCTGTAGAACGATATACGATACACTGGCATGTTCATCTCCGCATGCGTATGGGCGATATCGTCACCATTAGCAACAGCAAAATGCTCATCAGATTGAATTTGTTTGTACACCTGAGCCTCAACACGATTACCCCTTCAATGGTAAATATATATATAACTACACAACAACTGGTTTCATATTTGTTGGTCTTTCAACATAACAGATACACAACATCTGCATTACCTACCAGTTTACCTACTCTATTGCCATTGGTCACCCCCCCCACCCACACACACACGCGCGCGATTCCCACAGGCCATAGCTGAACTAGAGACCGCCACCACCACCGTCAACAATCAAGTGCGCGAAGCAGAAAACACGGCCCTGCTCACCAATATAGAGGACAGGTGTGCCAATCTACCACGCACATTCAAGGTATGATTTTAATTCAAATTCTTAATTTTTTTATCCTATTCGCACCCGAATTCCGCTCATGCCAATCCTCGTTCATGCCATCTTTCCTTAATTTGCGCCAAGTAATTGCCAATCCTATTTTTTCCATATGAAAATGTACTAAATAACACCTGTCTGTGTGGTGCTGCAACAGATCTCAAAACCGGGGCGGCACCTCGTACTGCAGTGGGAAGCGCGTGTAATTTTAGGGCCGGAGAATGTCCTGCGCGGGAATATATGTTTGTTTTCGGATGTCATTCTCATCGCGTCACCCATAACGGTGTCCGACCAAATCAAACGGAAAATAAGCACCACTGGCAGGAAGTCCGGCTCAGAAGAGGTATGCTTCAGTTGAGTATGCTTTTTTATGTATACGTGTATTATACCATTGTGAGTATCTTACCATTACAAGTATTTCTTCCATATGACATTGATTTTTATTTTGATATTGATATGGATGTTTTTGGTTTTTTTGTGTTTTTTTTTAATATTTACACACGCGTATTATTATATATATATATATATATATATATATGTATATGTATAAATATGTATGTATA